GTGCAATGGTGCGATCTCAGTTCACTGCAGACTCCGCCTCTTGGGTTCAAGTGATTCTCCTGCCTCCGCCTCAGTAGCTGGGACTACAGGTATGTACCACCATGCCCAGCTAATTTTTGTATTTTTAGTAGAGACGGGGTTTCACCATGTTGGCCAGGATGGTCTCAATCTCTCAACCTTGTGATCCGCCCACCTCGGCCTCCCAAAGTGTTGGGATTACAGGCAGGAGCCACCATGCCCAGCAGGACTTTAATTTATTGAACTTTTCCCTTATGAATAGTGTGAGGTAGGATCTAACTTTATTTTTTCCAAATAGGATATGATTTTTCCAATATCACATATTGAATACTACATAGTTTCCTCAAACATTTGGCACTGTATCTTACTTAAATAAATCAGTGAACAGTGTACATCTGAACTCTACTCAGTTCTATTAGTTTAATTGCCTTTTCCAGCACCAACATCATACCCTTTTAATTCCTATAATTTTATAAAATTGTGACTGTTGTAGAACAAAAATAGATTATTTTACATATTCCTCTGGTCAATTCATGTACATTTGTTCCTCCATATTAATATTAGAATCAGCTTGTAAAATTGAAATGAAAAATCATATTGAGTTGCAATTGATATTTCTTTGATTTTAGAGACTATTTTGGAAGAATTTATTCTATTTTCCAAATGCTTTAAGCTTTTTATTTGCTTAAACTTTTGTTATGAATTTTTTATTTTATTGTATGCAAGAAAATATAGGCTTCTCCCAGCAATAAATGCTAATTGAGTGCCTACTCAATTGTATAGCCACTGTACTAGACTCTGAGGATTCAGTGGTGAAGACACAGACATGTTCTCTGCTCTCTTGTGGCTTAAACTTCCTGCCTTTTGAAAGTTATTAACATTTCCTTTGTGGGTTGGAAAAATGATTAATTTTTTTTAAATGCTAAGTGGAACGTGTTAAGATTATATATTCTGTGTTTGTAGATTACAGATTTTGAAATATATCTAGTAAATAACCTTATTAATGAAATTATTCATATCGCTCATATTTTTATTTCTTTTTGCCTACTTGATTTGACAAAGACTAAGTGATGCAATAATATTAAGGTATCCTATTAAGAGTGTGACTTTGCCAAATTCATCTTGGTATTTCTCATAGCTTTTGCTCGTATATTGCTTTTTAAAAAATACCATTTGTTACATTTTTTAATAAAGAAAATGTTAAAGAATATCCCATAATCCCACCATCAACATAATCTTTGCTAACCCCCATCGTGTGTGCACATGCGGAAATACAGATGGTACAGAAACGTTGCAAAGAGAAACGAGTTTTCTGCGTCACGATCCCTCTTCCCACTGTTAACCATTAGCAGGTAACCTTCTTTCCCTCCAGTGCTGTCCCACAGAACCTTCCGTTTCTGGAACTTCAGTGATGAATTGAACAGGGGCTCTATCTAATGACCCAGCCTCCACCCTGTCTTGAAGCGGGTGTTCTCCAAATGCAACCCCAGTCCTGCTGCCAATGCCTCCTGCTCTGAAACTGCTTAGGCCTAGGAAATCTGCCTTCTAGAGCAGTGCTTTCCAGGCATCTGTGTGTACACAAATTCTGACAGATGTTGATGAAAAGCAAATTCTAATTCAGTGGGCTTGTGTAAGTCCTAAGATTCTGCATTTCTTTTTTTTTTTTTTTCTTTTTTGAGACAGAGTCTGCTCTGTGGCCCAGGCTGGAGTGCAATAGTGCAATCTCGGCTCACTGCAACCTCCGCCCCCAGGGTTTAAGCGATTCTCATGACTCAGCCTCTCAGGTAGCTGGGATTACAGGCACTTGCCACGGTGCCTGGCTAATTTTTGTATTTTTAGTAGAGACATGGTTTTACCATGTTGGCCAGGCTGCTCTCGAACTCCTGACCTCAGGCGATCCACCCACCTTGGCCTCCCAAAGTGCTGGGATTACAGGCGTGAGCCACCACGCCCAGCAGATTATACATTTCTAACAAGGTAACCAGAGTGATGTTTGTGGGCCGCCCTTTGAGGAGCAAAGGCCTGTCCTTAAACTTGGCTGTACTTTGGAATCCCCTGGGGAATTTTATAAAATATGAATGTCTTCGGGGGGCCGAGGCAGGCAGATCACCTGAGGTCAGAAGTTCGAGACCAGCATGACCAATATGGCAAAACTCCATCTCTACTAAAAATACAAAAATTATCCATGCATGGTGGTGGGCGCCTGTAATCCCAGTTACTCAGGAGGCTGAGACAGGAGAATTGCTTCAACACACGGAGGTGAAGGTTGCAGTGAGCTGAGATTGCACCACTGCACTCAAGCCTGGATGACTAGAGTGAAACTCCGTCTCAAAAAAAAAAAAAAAAAAAAATGAGTGTCTGGGAAACACCCCCAGAAATTCTGATTTGGTATGGGTTGCAGCCTACACATACAGCAGTTGAAAGCTCGCCAGGTAATTCTAACATGCAGCAAAATTTGAGGGCCACTGTTCTACATATGTTGTCTCCCTCATCTCCACTCTTGTTTTTGCTGCAAAGTTACCCTCAGCAGATGCTTGAACTGACACAGCGAGTGTGGCTTTGGTAGCCTTTTCCCCTGGAGTCCTAGAGAGGACCAAGATCTCTGCTGTGTGCTTCTCAGGGCAAGCTTCCTTTGCTGTGGAAAGTTCTAGGCTCTGAGGATGCTTCTCACTGTGTCTTCTTCTGCAATCATGGGACATGTCCCTGAAGTTTCATGCTCCCTCAAGGTTCCCCTTCTTCTAGGAAGGCACTGTTTTTGTATTGTGGTATCCCCCAGAGTGAGAGAGAACAAAATCAGAATGTTCTGGCTGTGCTGAAAGCATCCATTGAGCAAATATATCTTGCCCCATGTTAATTCCTGGATCAGATAATCTTCCTAGGAGATCTTCTACATCATCCAACATCGAACCCAGGTCTGCCTCCATCTGCCATTGTCCGACCTGACCCCGCTTTATTCAGTCTTATCTTTGCACTGCCTTTCCTTAGAAAAAGTGGTCCTCCACGTGGGTCCCTAGGCAGTAACCTCAGCATCATCTGGGAATTAGTTAGAAATTCAAAATTCTCAAGCTTCACCCCAAACCTATCAAAGCAGAAACTCTGTGGGCGGGACCCAGCAATTAGTGTTTTATTAAGCCCCCCAGGTGATTCTGATGCCTACTCAAGTTGGAGCACCCCTGCCTGAGAGCATCAGATGCTGATTCATTTGGCCTGCGCTGGTGTTCAAGCATCACTAGGTTGAAAAGTTTCCCCAGGTGAACCTTATGTGCAGCCAGGCCAACGAACCACTGCTTTAGAGAGTCCTAATTCCTTAAGTTAACAGGGACCATTTCTCAGGGACCAAGTAATACCTTGATCTCCAGCTACAATGGTTCTAGCACCTTGAAACTTACCTAGTTAGTGATGCTTCTACTATTTTATACTGATCTTCCTCTTCTTAAATTTGTCCGGATTCTCTGTAACTCCTTGTATTAGATGCCCCAGTATCTAAGGAGATAGTTGCCATTTGCTCCAATGATATGTGCTCACTTGCTTTCTTTCTCTTTCTCTTTTTCTGTCTTTTCTTTCTCTCCCTTTCTTTCTTTCCCTTCCTCTCCCTTTCTCTCATTTTCTCTCCTCCTTCTCTCTCTTCTTTTTGTCTTGCTTCTCTCTCTCTCTGTCTCTCCGTCTCTCTCTCTCTCTCTCTCTCTCTGTGTGTGTGTGTGTAAGGGGTTTCCTGGATACGGTTCCCTTGGGGAGAATCATTCTACCCTCCTCTCTGAGATCTTGCTTCTCTTCCTTAGTGAATTTCTGTGGCCTCAATTACCATTTCTGGTCTAGTCACAGCTGAGACATAGCCCCTTCTCAAATGCTGTGCCTACATTTATTTCCCTTTCCTGTAGCCTATTCTGCCTTCAAGATCACATTTGCCATTTCATACCCATCCAGTCTGTTCCTGAGATCTCAATGTTTCTCTTCAGAAAATGTCTCTTCCTCCAGTTTAGTGGAGCTGTTTTTCATTACATTTCCTTTCTTCTACTGTACGTGTTTTGATCATCTGAGGCATACTTTTCTCCAAATACCCTGATTTTCCAGACAACTTAATTCTCAGAGACGGAGTCCTTCAAGGACGAGCGTCCTTAGCTCTTTTTGTAATTTTCTGGGGTTGTGACGTTACTGAGTTGTTCCTCTGTGAGCCTAAGATGATAACACATCCCTTTATAACAGATTCCCTGTTCCTTCTTTACATTAATAAAATATGCTTTACATTAATAAAGTATTGAGAGTGAAGCCTGGAGTTGAATCTCTAAATCCAAGGCCATGATTATTCCAGAGGCAACTGTAGACCATATGGAGGGGCGTGTGAACCCTAAGAGCCTATGGGGAAGCCCCGTTAATTCCCAGCTCTTCTTAGCCCTGTACCACAAGGCAGCACAGCAGGGCATGGGGTTTTGGCAGCCTCCCTCCGCTGTCTACCTCAGCCTCACACTGGCAGTACAACTGTACAGGCTCACACATGGCATTGCAGGGCATGGAACTTGGGTGCAGTATAAACTGCACTGAAAAATCGCAAAAGTGATAGGTAATTGTTCCTCCTCTTAATGCGTAAAAGGTCTGTGTGGCAGTATATCAAAGAGATACCTGTACTTCCATGTTTATTGCAGTACTATTCACAATAGTCAAGATTTAGAAGCAATCTAAGTGTCCATCAAGAGCATATGGTACCTATATGCACGGGAGTACTATTCAGCCATAAAAAAGGACAAGATCCTGTCATTTGTCACAATCTAGATGGAACTGGAGGACATAATGAAGCGTCAAGTGAAATAAGCCAGAAACAGAAAGACAAATTTCACATGTTCTCACTTATTTGTGGGAGCTAAAAATTAAAACAATTGAATTCATGGAGATAGAGAATAGAAGGAGGGTAACCAGAGGCTGGGAAGGGTAGTGTCGGGGAGAGGAGGGATAAATTGTACAAAAATATAGACAACAGGGTGATGATCGTCAATAAAAATTTATTATACATTTTAAAATAACTAAAGGAGTATAATTGGATTGTTTGTAACACTAAAGTAAGGACAAATTCTTGAGGTGATAGCTACCCCATTTACCCTGATGGAATTATTATACGTTGCCTGCCTGTATTAAAGTACCTATGTACCCCATAAATATATATACCTACAATGTACCCATAAAAATTAAAAATTCAAAAAAGGTCTATATGCTAGGCTGAATAATGATGTTTCTGTCCAATGATGTTTATGGCTTAGTCTCTGGAGCCTGTGGCTGTGGTAAAGGGATATTGAAGATGTGATGAAATTAAAGATCTAGAGATGGAAAGATTATGCTACGTTACCCCAGTGGGTCCTAAATGTAATTGCCAGGGTCCTTCTAAGAGGAGGCCAGAGGCTCAGAGTGAAGAAAAGCTGATATAACAACAGAACAGGGAGAGATGAGAAGATGCTACACTGTTGGCTTTGAAGGAGGAGGAAAGGATCAACAGCAAAGGAAGACAGAGAGCTTCTGGAAGCTGCAAAAGGCACGGACATTGATTCTCTCCTAGAGCCTCTGGAGGGAACATGGCTACGAACCTTGATTTTGACCCAGTGAAACGCTTTTGGACTTCTGACCTCCAGAACAGCGAGATAAGAAGCTTGTCTTAGGCCACTACGGCGGTGATTTGTGACAGCAGCAGTCAGACGCTAACAGAGTCTACATATGGGTAAACCTTCTTTTCCTTGTAATCAAAGCATACTGTCTGCAATGCCTACCCACAGGAGTCCTGAGGCCTACAGGCATCTTCAGAGAACCCAGTGGCCCATGCCGAGGCAGGCACTGTTTTGCCCAGGTTGAGCTGAATAGCTCTTAGCCTAAGGCCTCGGGAACCAGCTCAGCCCACTTTTGCTAAGGCCTATGCCTGTATAAAAATAGCAGCTTGCCTATAAAAAACAAAACACAACAAAAAACAATCTAATGGCCTGGTCCCCTCAAAAGTCTCGGTTTTTGAGTGTTAATTTGCTCCCCACATTCCATTACTTGTTCACCAGGCACTTGGCCCAACGTGTCAGCTAGGAACACTCCTGAATGAGCTGACCCACCACCCTAGCTGGAGCCCTCTTCCCTGGAAGGATCCAGCCTGCCCCTGTACATTTATGGAGTGACCAGAATGGGTGCTTCCCAGAGACAACTGGCTCCTGAGAATGGAAGAGGAAGCAGTTGAGCTACCCAGGCCCAGCTCCTGCCCTCAGGCTTCCCTACCAAGCACATCACCTCCCACTTCCAAAGGCAGAACCAGGGAGCAGACAGAGAGGCCAGGGGTGCTACCAAGAGAGACTTTTGTTCTCCTGGAAGGAAACACCAGAAGTGGGGAGATGAGTTTCTCCCAGCTCACTCATTGAACACTGCACCAATCAAGCCCAAAACTCTACAGAATCTATCTCATTGAGTCCCCACAACGACCCTATGGAGATCAAGTGTATTCGCATTACCATTGAGTTCTACACTGAAACCAAGTGAAGCAATTTGCAACAACTACCAAAATAATTTTGTGCTTACAACCAACTAATTCAGCATGCATCTCTGTTCTACCATGTTCTTGAGTTGATCCCCATGGCCCTTCCTCCAGAAACAAGAGCAAAGCTGTGGTTGAGTGTCAGTGGGCACTGGTGGGTAGGAAGGTTAGTTCTTCCTCTGTTTCTCATTTGCTATGGAGCCCCCATTGATCTGCACTGGACCTTCAATATCATCACCCAGGTGAAGCTTTGCAAGGTAGGGGTTGGCTAGACATCTCCCACAGGTCAATCCTGGGTAATTCTGGAAAGTCAGCCCAAACGTTACAACTGGAAACAAAATTTTTTTTTAGAAAAATAAATCTGACATTGTCACTCCCCTACTAAAAACCTCTCTATATGGCTCCACATTGCTCTTAGGGAAAGTTGCAACTATTTAAAATGGAACATGAGGTTCTGTCATGTCTGGTACCTGCTTACCTTGCTAGTCTCATTTCAAACCACCTCCTAATTTCTTTTTTTAATTGAATTTCTAAATGTTTATTAAAGTACATGTATACGGTTTAGAGTCAAATAGAAGCATGAACTGACAATAAAAAACGGAGTCCCCACTATATCTTCCTTTCCTCTCCCACAAGATAGCTACTTTATATGCTTTCACTGGTCTCTTCTGTTTACCTTTGTATTTCAAAATAATGGTTTACACTGCTAGTTTCACATTTTTACAGAAAAATCGGTTGACTTTCTAGCAAGAAAGAAGAGGATTTAGTTATCTTACACCACACTACACACTTCCCCCTCTTCCCATCCTTCCAACATAGTTACATCACAATTTTTGTTAAGTACTCAATATTTATATTAGAACTGTGTAAATATTGACCATAGCTGAGCCATGTAGTGTACTATTAATATATACTTTTCTTGTATGATTTTTGTTTTTTTCAAGAGTTAATAAGTGCTTTGTTTTTAGCATTTGCTAGTTTTCACCACAGTTTTTCCCTTTCCCTTTCTGTGGGATCTCATTTCCTGGATCCCATGCTTTTCTCTTTCTTGGTTTTCTCCCTTGTTTAGCTATAGGCATATGTCTTCTAGTAGTACTTTGAGAAGGAACACATAAAAGCTAACTTTATTTTTATCTTGCATATCTGAAAATGTGTTTATTCTACTCTCACAGTTAAATAATAGATGAACTTCAGAATCCTTGGTTGGAAATAGTTTTTTCTTCTAACTTTTAAGTCTTTGTGTCACATCATCTAGCTTCCAAGGTTGATGTTAGGAAGGTATACTGTTCTGGTTTCCAATTCTTTGTATCCAACTTTTTCCTTTCAAGAAATTTCCAGGATCTTCTCTTTATACTGGGTGTTGTGAGATTTCACGACAATATGCCTAAGTGTGGGTCTTTTTTCACTGGGCTAGAGTGTTTCCTTCCATCCATCCATGCTTCCTTCCTGCCTGCCTGCCTTCCTTCCTGCCTTCCTTTTTTTCTTTGAGACAGAATCTTACTTTCTCACCCAGGCTGGAATGCAGTGGCGTGATCACAGCTCACTGCAGCCTCAACCTCCTGAGCTCAGGCAAATCCTTCTGCCTCAGCCTCCCAAGTTGCTAGGACCACAGGCACATGCCACTATGCCCAGCTACTTTTAAAATTATTTGTAGAGATGAGGTCTCCCTATGTTGCCCAGGCTGGTCCTGAACCCCCCAGGCTCAAGCAATCCTCTCACCCCAGGATTCCAAAGTGCAGGGATTATAGGTAGGGGCCACTGTGCCTGGCCTGGAGTGTTACATTTCAATCCTGAAATTCAAGTCCTTCAATTCTGGGAAATTTTCTTGTATTTCTTTCTTTTTTTTTTTTTTTTTTGAGAATTTTTTCCTTTATGCTTTCCCTTCTCTTATTCGAGAACAGTTACTAACATCATTCTAGACTTCTAGACCTCCTGAATTGATTTATTTCTTCTCTCTTTCTTGGTCTCCGATAGGTGGATTTTGGGCCTCCTGAACTGATTCTTTAATTTTCTCATATTTATAACCTATTTAATAACAAGTTATCTTAGCTTGGGCAACATGGTAAGACCCTGTCTCTATAAAAAATACAGAAAACTTAGCCAGGTGTGGTGGCACATGCCTGTGGCCCCAGGTACTTGAGAGGCTGAGGTGGGAGGCTCACTTGAGCCCAGGAGGTCCAGGCTCTATAAGCCATGATTGCACCAGCCTGGGACAGAGCAAGGCCCTGTCTCAAAAAAAAAAGTTATCTATGTTTTTATTGTAACTTCTGGGTTATCTTAACTTTATCTTCCAACCCTTTAGTGTTATCTTAACATTCCCTTTATATATATATATATATATATATATATATATATATATATATAACATTTAAATCTTATTTTATGACTGCAATGCCCTATTGTATCTTTCAGGAGATATTATTCATGGGTGTTTATTTCAATGTATTGTCTCTTTTTCCTCCTACTTGCCTTTTTCTATTTTCCTGAATCTTTGGTCTCTGGCTTTCATTATGGAGTTTTCCACAAATATCTGGTGACTCTTGACTGTCATTCATGTATACATTCATATACACGAATGACGGTCAAGAGTATAAGTGTGTAAGTGTGGTGTAAGAAGCTGACCAGGGCTGGACACAGTGGCTCAAGCCTGTAATCTCAGCACTTTGGAAGGCTGAGGTGGGTGGATCACCTGAGGTCAGGAGTTCAAGACCAGCCTGGCCAACATGGCGAAACCCTGTCTCTACTAAAAATAAAAATAAAAATAAATTAGCTGGGCATGGTGGCCCTTGCCTGTAGTCCCAGCTACGTGGGAGCATGGGAGACTGGGGCAGAAGAATTGCTTAAACCTGGGCCAAGATCACCACTGCACTCCAGCCTGGGCAACAGAGAGAGACTTCATGCCCCAACCCCCACAAAAAAAGAAGCTCTATGCACCTGGGTGGGGCCCAAGGGTGACCAGAGACTGGCAATTTTGTTAGAAGGCTTCAAATCTCAAATGGTGGTCTCTGTCGACCTTTTCCCCTCTGCTGGGTGGTTTCCCCAGAAAAGAGTTCTCCAGCCTCCTGACTTGGAGATGGAGGAAGACATGGGAACAGCTCGAAGCCCAGCTGCCTACATCCCATGAACAGCGTGGGAGGACAGGGTGTGAATCCCACCCTTTCGTTCTTTTGTTTTCCTCCCAGTTTTAGTCTGGGTCTCACTGTTTCCTTTGCAAATGCCCCAAATCCTGAGTCGCCTCCAGTCAGCTTCTCAAAGGGTAAACTTCTCATCTTCTGCTGTGGTGGGAGGTGTGGTTGGCTGTCTGGCTAAATGAGGCTTCAACCTGTTCTCTCCTGTGGCTCCCTCTCTCTGCCCTGTGGTCCATGCCTGGGGTCCATGCCTGTGGTCCTCGCTACTCAAGAGGCTGAGGCAGAAGGATGTGCCTGAACCTGGAAGGCTGAGGCTGCCGTGAGCCATGATCATGCCACTAAACTACAGCCTGGGTGACAGAGTAGGAGTCTGTCTCAGATAAAGAAAGAAGTGCCAGCCTCCCATGTCTGAGCCTTTCCCAGGTCCCCCGGTCCCACAGGCTGGATGTTTTGCTCCTGGCAGGCTCCCCTTCCTGCAGGCTGAAATGTCAGCCTTCTCTGCTTTGCAAGTCCGTTACCATCACCCATCTGCCCTCCAGCTTCCAAAATCGTGTTAAACTCTCCCGTCTGCTTTTGTCTCCTCTCCTGTTCGCCTTATCCTGTGGGTTTACACATTTTTAAATTCCACAAAAGTCCATCTTGGTGAGGTTTCAGGAGTGAGTAGGAAAAACGCATCTTCAAGCAGCCATCCTGCCTAACGTTCCCCACATTTCTCCATGGTTTTCTTTGCGGAAGCCGCATCTGCTTCCTCTCCGGTTCCGAAACATGGCAGCATCGTCCTGCCTCTGTGCCTCTGTGTGTGCTGCCTCCCCTCCTGGAACGCGCTTGGCTCCCTACACCTGCTAGTCACCTGGCTCACAGTGACTCACCAGACATGTGTCAGCTTAAAAGTCGCCCCTCAGAGAGGCTCCCCCAATCCCGGGCCTCCTGCCTACCTAAAGCAGTTCTAGTGACTACCTTGTCCCCCACCAGCACTGCTGCTTCTGAATCTTCTGTGACCCATTCTTTCCCTCTCAGACTCAGGAGGTTTTCAGAAAGAGAAAGAGAAGCCAGGAGGGCTTCCTTCCCAGAACCCAGAGCACCCTGTTTGGAAGCCCCCTGGGCCTGGCCCTGGCTTTGCTCACCCTCTGCACAGATGCCTGGCTGCTGCCCTGAGTGGCTGAGCTGGTCCCTGGGATCCCTTCCAACTGCTGGCCAAGAGCGAGAGGTCAGCTGAAACGATGCCTGCCCACGCATCTGGATCTTTTCCTTGCACTCTGTTTTTCTGTGTTCCTGTCACTCTCTGTCTCTCTTGGTCTCCGTCTCAGTGTCTCTCCCTGGTCCTGCTTTCTCCTCTCCTCCTCCTCCCCACCTGCCTTCTCTTCTCCCATTCTCTCTCTTCTTTCCTGTCCACCCACCTCATTTCCCCTTTGTCTGTCTCCACGTTCTTCCCGCGCCCTCCCTGGCTCTGGCTCTGAGGATCTCTCTCTCTCTCCCTGGTGCCCACACACTCAGAAGGTGCCCCCGCCTCCTTCCGTGGCCTCTCTTCAGGTGCATGGCTGCCGGGGCCTTCCTGCAGCGAGGCCCAGGTGTGGCGTGGCCCGGTGGCCGGCCAGACCGCCTGCTGTCTCACACCCTTGTAAGGTTACTATTTATCTAGTGCAACCGAAGTTGGCGCACACATCTGGCGCCTGGTACTTAGTGCAATTATTTATGATTTCCACCAAGATTTAAAAGCTCATCGCCGGCCTTGTAATGCAGTAACTGATTGCGCTGCTAATGTAATTAAGAAAAGATTATGATGTCCACGTGGCGTACCAGATGGTGGCATTCATAGTAATCGGCGTGCACAACTGGCAGACAACTGCACAAGGGCAGCCGAGCAGAGGCAGCTGGAGACCAGCATCTTCCTCCGTCACGCAGGAAGGAGAGGAGGCTGCTGGGAGTGCTGGACAGGGTCTGGGGGGTGGAGGGGAGGAGGAAGGAGAACCCAAGAGGAGAGGAGGGGTCCAGCTCCCCTGATCTGTGGCTCCTAAGTGGACTCTGTTATTGCACACACACGTGCTGTGTTTAAAAACAGATATGCTGTCAAAGTTTTGCTGATAAAGTTTTGTTGATCACGTACTGATAAAGTTTTGGTCATATACATGCACACAAGGGCACATGCAGACACACACACACACACAGATCACTATGAATAAGGGACTCTTGCCTTTGTGTGTTCAAAAACTTTGACTAAGTGTTCAGTTGTGCTAAGCCCTGAGAATATATCAATAAATAAAACAACAATGAGTCCCTTCCTTGCAGAGCTCAACAGGTGAGAGAAGGAAAACACATAGATCAAATAACCACAAGAATAAATGAAAAGTTGAATTGTAATCAATGTTACAGAGAGAGGTGGGTGGGGTTATGAGGGGTTTGTGGGGCCGTTGGCCTGGTCGGGGAGTTCAGGGAAAGCTTCTCTGGGGAAATAACAACTGAGGTGCTATCTGAACAGTGAGTAAGAGCTAACAGATGATAAGAGAAAGGAAGGGGGTTTCAGCGGAGGGAGCATGTGCAAAGGCCCTGGGGTTGAGGGGAAGCGCAGCTAATACATGAAAAATCCAAGGCAAACTTGAAGAAGAAAAACAAAGCTGTATGCCAAGACTTTTAATAAAGCTGTAGTAATGAAGGCAGTGTGGTATTGGTGCAAGGGTGGACAAACTGGCCAATGGAACAGAGAAGAAAGTCTGGAAACAGACCTATACATCCATGATTCCCATATGTATGATGGGCAACATCATAGTCCAATGGGAAAAGAGTGATCTTTTCAGTAAATGGTGATGGGTCCATTGCATATCTATAAGAAAATAAAGAAAAACAAGTGTATCTTGACCCCTATCTCACATCACGCAAAAATCTATTCCAGATTATTATAGAGCTTTGTAGAGCTAAATATGAAAGGAAAAACAATAAAACTTTGCTTTTTTTTTTGAGATGGAGTCTCTCTCTTTCACCCAGGTTGTAGTGCAGCAGCATAATCTCGGCTCACTGCAACCTCCACCTTCTGGGCTGAAGCAATTCTGCTGCCTCAGACTTCCAAGTAGCTGGGATTACAGGTATGTGCCACCACACCCAGATAATTTTTATATTTTTAGTAGAGATGGGGTTTCACCATGTGGGCCCACAGGGTTTCATCATGTTGGCCAGGCTGGTCTCAAACTCCTGACCTCAAGTGATCCACCCACCTGAGCCTTCTAAAGTGCTGGGATTACAGGTGTAAGCCACCATGCCCAGCCCAGCCAACAATAAAACTTTTGGAGGAAAACATAGCAGAGCAATTCTATGACCTTGGAGTAAGCAAATGTGTCCTAAACAAGTCACAAAAAGGCTATGTAAGAAAAAATTTATAAATTGAACATATTAAAGTTTAAAAATTCTACTAAAAGATACCAGCAAGAGAGTGAAAAGCTAATGAAAAGAGTGAGAAAAGATGTTTACAATTCATATATTTAACAAAGAACTGCGATTCATAAAATATGAAAAGTTGCTACAACTCAATAAGAAAAAAACAACCCACATTTTTAATGGGGGGAAAAAACTTTAACAGGTATCTCAAAAAAAAAAAAAGATATTCAAAAGGCCAATACACATATGATAAGATACTTGACTTCATTAGTCATAAGAGAAATACAAACCAACTATAAGTTACAAGATGCCACTACCACCCACCATGATAGCTAAAAAGACAAAATACCAAATATTAAAGATGACCTGGAGAACAAGAACTCCCATGCACTGTAGGGGTACTTCAGCAAATTCATTATCTCATAAAACTGAATATATACACACCCGTGGCCCAGCAATTCCACTTGTGGATATACACCACAATAAATGTTTATCATGGGCATGTACTGAAGTGTCCGTAGTTGTACCATCTATAATAGTCAAAAACTCAAAACTACCTCCATGCCTACAGGTAATAGAATGAATAAATTTGTCAAGATAGATAAATTGTGGTATATTCATGCATTTAAATATTATACAAAAATGCAAACAAGCAAATTACAAAAGGGTCTCTGATCTCATAGAACTTTGGAGAGGCTTGGTCTCAAAGATGCCACATGTAAGGGAAAATGGGAGTAGCACATGGGGCTTAAAGCAAGGGGGTTGACTGAAGGCTGGTGGATAATGCTATCTACTCCTAGACCTCCCCACCCTACTCCTACACACAGAACACTCAGAACTCCAGTGTCTAGCTACCTGGCAAGAGGTCAGAGGGTTCCTCACTGGGGACAGCCCCAGCAAAAAGACTACTTTATCCTAGCCCTACCTCATTTGGGATGTTTGGCTCAACTACCCATGTGCACCAGTCAGCTTTTCATCACTTGCCTCTTAAATATAAACAGCGAAGATAAAATCAAGAAATTAAGTATATAAACAGAAAACATGACCCCAGAGGAAATCAAGATAACATGCAAACTAAAAGAGTATTTCAAAAGAATCAGAGTAGTATGCCCAGAAAAATTAAAGATGAAAAACATGTGACTAGACTGTGTACTGTACTGTCTATGAAAAAGGAACAATCAATAAGAAATAACTCTGAGAAATCAAAAATTGAAGTGCTGAACAATTCAATAGAATTAAAAGATAAATTTAAGGGATTCTCCCAGGAGGTAAGATCAAGAAAAAGGAGGCAGAAAATACAAGAAGAAAATAAGAAGCATAAAGGATTTATTTAAGGGTATCAGCAGTTGACAATGGCAGATCCAGAAAAAAATAATTTTAAAAGGGGGCTGGGAGGAAGAATTAACAAAGATATAATACAAGAAATTTTCTCACAGCTGAAGAACACAAGTCTACAGAATAGACAGAACTACTGAATGCTCAACAATGATGAATGCAAAATAATCAACATATAGACACAATGCCATGAAATGTCAGAACACCAAAAATAGAGAGGAAATATAAAAAGCTTCAAGAAAGAAAAATATACGTCATACATAAAGAATTGAGTGCCAAAATGCCATCAAGTGTTTCAATAGTAACATTTGGTACAATATTTTCAATATCATCAAAATTCTGAGAGAAATCATTTTTAACTGAATTTATATGTCCAGACAAACTATTAACCAATGTGAGATTAAAAGAAAGAGTCTCAGAAAGCTTATCTCCAGTGCACTCTTTTTAAAGGAAATTACTTGAGAATGTGCTTCAGCAAAAGGAGGGAGTAAACCAAGGAAAAGGATACACAGTATCCAAGAAACAATGGGCCAACCCAGAAAAACAGCAAAGAGAAATCTCAGAAGGGAAGAATGCACAGAGCCAAGGAGGAGCCAGTCCACTTTGGAAAAGGGGTCCCTGGAAAGGGAGAGTGTAATAAAATATGGAATTGGATGGGGAGGCTGGAAACAAATGCAAATATGATAATGGCAAATGGCACAAGGGGAAAAGAGCAGGTAGAAATTCCAGATCCGGGGCGGGGGGTGTGGAATGGTATTACAAAAGTAAAATACAATCATAAAACACGACTTGGCTCTCCAAAGGAACAATATTTAGTGTTTTTTTTTGTGTGGAGGGGTATAAGCTAAACCCTCACCTATGAGCTAAATCCTCAGCAGGAATACAATGACTAATGAAAGATACATAATAAGTCAAAAAACAGGAATGGAAGCATTTTTTTTTTTTTTTGAGATGAGGTCTTGCTCTGTTGCCAGGCTGGAGTGCAGTGGCACCATCCTTGGCTCAATGTAACCTCCGCCTCCCAGGTTGAAGCGATTCTCCTGCCTCAGCCTCCTGAGTAGCTAGGACTACAGGCATGTACCACCACACTCAGCTAATTTTTGTATTTTTAGTAAAGATGGGGTTTCACCATACTGGCCAGGCTGGTCTCAAACTCCTGACCTCAGGTCATCTGCCCACCTCGGCCTCCCAAAGTGCTGGGATTACAGGCATGAGCCACGGCGCCCAGCCAGAGGCAATTATGGCAAGTGATCAGAGATACTGTAACTAGTAGCTGTAAAGGAGCTGAAAGTGGCTTCTGGGATGAGAACTAGGGATTCAGGGTGGATGTGGGCAGAGATGTATTTTTTTTTAACCAATGTATATAATACACTGATGTCTTTAAAAAATGGCCTTAAACTCCAGTTACAGAGTAGAACTCTAATTACAGGTGGTCAAGAACAGATTCAGGGAGACTGCTTAGAAGGATACAGCTAGTGCTCGACTTACGACC